TCTGCAAAAAAAAAAAAAAAAAAAAAAAAAAAATACCAAATACAAAAATCTTTTCTCTTCAGTTTAAACCTTCCAAGCATTTCCCAGGACTGTTGAGAATACTAAACAGGCCTCTTAAGGTTTAGAGAATTCAATATTCTACCAGTTTAAAACTAAAAATAGATTACTCTTATGCAAGGTTTTTAAAACCGGATTGGACCGGCCGATTGAACCGGTCGGACCAGTACTCAATGATGAAAATGGTTCGATTTATATAAGAAAATCGTTTGAGGTCAAAATCGGTCAAAATCGATCAAAACCGATAAAAACCGATAAAAATCGATAAAAATCGATAAAAACCAGTGAAACCGGTGGAACCGAAAAAACCACCGGTTCAATTTCTCATGTAATCTTCTTTCAATTTTTTCCAATTTCACCCTTCCCATTCCTTTCTTATACCCATTTAACCTTTAATTTTAACAAAATTACAAAATTATTAACACCAAATTAGAAAATCCATGCTTGCAGCTTGCTTCTCTCATCAAATCTTCCTTGCTGTTTGGATCGATCGGTTCACCAATTTAACAGATTAAACTAATTAAACTGAAATCGAACCTGAAAACGGTTCAATAACCGGTCCGATTTTAAAAACCTTGCTCTTATGCGGTGGTTAGTTATGACCCTACATTAGTTTGTTAAGCTTAAGCTCATACGATGTTGATTGAAAAATATTAAATTATTTTACTTAATTGTTAAAAATAGTTGATAATTAATAGTTCTATAATTATTTTATCAATAATAACTGTTTTTAATAGTAAAAGGGATTAACCAACTTAAGTAGTTCATTGGTTATTTCCTTTTGGTGGAAGTAGAAAGTTTTAAATTCGAGTAGCGTGGTATATGGGTGGGGTAAGATAAAAGATGTGAGATAATTGCCTTATATTGTGTAATCAAAATAAAAAAATAGTAAAAAAGATTTTTTAAATTGTGTCTTAAGTATTATTAATTACAATATTTGTAATTAATTTTATATAAACTTTCATACTATATTCAATTAAAATAAAATATAAAATGTAAAATTGAAGAGAATAGTATGTCTCAATCTTGATTTGTAAAAAAAATTAGAGTTATAATATTAAATAACATTATTTTTTAAAATTAAAATATTATATATATATATTTAGGATTGATATATAGTATCCTTAAAATTGAAATAAAATATACTCCTTCCATCAAAAAATAATAACCCTTTTTTCAGTTTTATCTTTTAATTAAGAATTTGGAGATAATTTTTTTTCATCTATTTTATCCTTAAGAAATGAATAAATAAATAAAATATTTTACCAGATCATGAATAATTAAAGTTGAAGGATAATTATAATATAAAGTAAAAAATATTATTTTTATAAAAATATGAAAAATTAACTATTATTTTGAAACAAATTTTAAATAAAAAAAATCATTCATTTTGAACATAAAAGAGTATTTATATTCAAAATCTGTAAAAAAAATATAAAATTTAGTATAAAAATTTATATAAAATTAATTATAAATATTATAATTAATAAGTATTAAGTTATGGGTTTGTGCCCTTAAACAAACCCATAGTCAAATAGGTATGTAGTAAAATTTTGACAGTTTGTAACTGTGCGGCTGTTCCATAACCTCACCACTCTGGAATGCCGCAGACGATGCCTTTCGAATCTCCAGAACTCTCCAGAGGAACCTCACTCTTGAATATTAATAAAAGCAATTGAAGAACACTAAAAACTCAACGAGAAAATTCCTGCAGGATAACCACAAAACGAAGACAAAATGTTCTTCTTCTTCATAGGCGGGTTGGAGCAACAGGTGAGGCAGGTTCTGAAATCGAGCGCAGGGAGGTGCATAAACTGCGGCTCAAGTGCCGATCTTGTCGACTACGACAAGGTATTGAAGCTGTTCTTCGTGCCAGTCTGGAAATGGCCTGGGAAAGACCCTGTAATGCACTGCAACACCTGCAATCTCTTCTTCCCTCAGTCTTTCTCCTTGCCCCCACCCAACACAGTCTCAACGAACGCCGTTTCAGATGTTCTGCGCTGCCGTTTCTGTGACAGGGTTGTGGAGCCCGAGTTCAGCTTCTGCCCCTTCTGTGGCTCTGCTCTGTAAATTTTTGTTCTGGGCTTGGAATGAACGATGGATCTCTTGTATTTTGATATATTGGCAATACTGGTTGATACGATCACTGCGGTTTAGGGTTTTGTATTGGAGATTTTGAGGTTTCACAGGTCAAGTACTTTCCCAATTGTGTTTCTTTGACAATAATAATAAAACAAGGTTTTAGTGATGGGTTCTTGCTTGGTTTCTGAAAAGCTGAGAAATTTTGTAGTGAAGTTTTCTGTCTGGTTTCCGGGGAAATGAGAATCTGTATTAAATTGAACGTGAATTCGTGATTTTTCCGTTTTAAGTTGATGCAAAATTAGGAGAAAGAATAGCCCTTTTTAATCATGAATATGTGATTCAGTTTCAACTGTTCAAGAATGCAATGACCAGTAATCCCCAGTGAACATTGGTGATGCAATCAAATGAGTTATCCCTCTCACAGGAGATCAGAGTTCAGACATGTCTGAGGCTGCAAAAGGATCATCAGGATGTCTTCACTGGGCTGGGATATGGAAGAAGGATGATAAAAAAATGGGGGCTTCTAACTGCACACAAAGAACTATGAAAATAGGGTACAGTTAATCCAATTTACAAGGCTTCCTTGGATAGTTGCAGGAGAAACCAACTCCCTCTACCTCGTAAGCAGTTATTTGCTGTGTAATCCTGAGTGCCGAATCCAGTCATAAAAGTGCGTTTGATACCGTAGATCATGTCTAATTTCACCTGTGGAGTTTAGCTAGCTCTAATGAAGCCATTAGGCATGTCTAATCTGAGGCTTCAGCCTTGGGCTAGAATTTACAGTGAATTGCTGAAGGGTAATTGCTTCACTCCCTGTTGCAATGCATCTCTCCAAAATCTGTACCTCACTCCTAGCTTATCATAAGCTACCGGCCGATTCCAGACATTTGCCCCATTAATCATCCGCTCCTGCTGGCCAACTACGAGTCGCAGATCCTCATTCAAGACCTGAGTTGAATATGCAAGCAAGAAGTCACAAGAATGCAAATATAGGAGTGAGAACACAAGGTCTAGATATTCTGCATGAGGACAGACGAACGAGAATAAGAGCTGAGTTCTGTTCCATTACCTGCTCTGCAAAATACCTCCATAAATACTGCATGAAAGGAATGTGCTTTAGTACAGGAGCAAAATCCAGTGACATTCTGTATAAGAGTCTTGTCTTTTGTCTTGATGAAGGTAAGCACACATGAAGTTGATGAAGGTGTGTTGCACATTGCTTGGTATTCTGCCCCTCCAGTTTTCCAGGTTTTGATATCCCAATGGTTGATAGTACCATGCAAGGTGGTTTAAATTCCATATCTATGGGATAAGGGTCCCAGTATCCTTGGAGGCCAGATGCAGGTGTCAAAAATTTCACCAGACTGAGAATTCAGATTAAAGGTAGCAATCACTGGTTAGAAATTTGGAATAATACAAAACCGGTAAAATTTTGAGCAGGATATCTGAGATGAAAAGTAAGCTAGATGCCAAAAGCCTGAAACTTGTTATGATATTTTTAAATGATTTTGTGTTATTTCCAGGAAAATGTGATTATTCTTTTTCCTACTGTACCATATACGTAAGATATCTACAAGTTCAGTTTTTCATAGTTTTCTTTCTCAGGTGTTTAACTTTAAAAGATGGTAGATTTTGAAAATTATATTGAAAGTCATTCTGAATTGAGGGCAAAACCGCTTGAGAATAATAAATGCAGTAAAACCATTGCAGAAACAAACCTGGGAACGCTCCATCCCTTTGCAAAGGTGGAAGTGTGAGTAAAAGGGGCATGTGCTAGATCCAAAAGGTTATCCAAAAGCAACCCATGTTCAATTGGAAGTTCCATCACAATCTGTCATTCATCAGCTCACATGAAATATGACTTAAGATGGTGATTTTCATTATGTCATCAAAGCCAAAACTGACATGCTTCTTGCATTCAGAGTTGCGAAAAAGGCATTTGAAATGATCAAGAGCATACCTCAGCATGGATTTCAAATCCTGTAGGAGGCTGTAAGGAAGGAAGCATGGCAGATGGAGGGTCATCACCAGGCCAAATCCAGATCATGCCTTCTTTCTCAAAACAGGGTAATGACCTTAACTTCACGTTAAGTAATCTAGTTGATGGCATTTTTTCACATTTTCCATCAGTTGAGTATTCCCACCCTAATATTTAGATGTCAAAGAATTTCAAGAATTAGGAAATTCTTATCTTATTAATGCATATTACTGATTTAACAAATTTAAAGACCTCACACCACAACCATATGTAACATTATCTTTGATCAATAGATAATATCTCTCTTGTTGAGATTTGTATGATAAAGAGCTTCTAGCATTCCTAAAATTCATACTAACCATGGTAGGGACATTGGATGCGACCCTCATTGACTGAACCAAGATGAAGTGGACATGCTCTGTGCGCACAAGTGTTCTGGACACATCCAGGTTTCCCATCTTTTCCCCGAAAAATAACCCAAGGTTCCTCAAAGCAATCAATTGGAATCTGGAAAGAGAAAAGGAAAGTCAGATAAAGAACATCTATCTTCTATCAGCTAGCAGATGATCAGACCAGAGAATTACCATACAAACTATTAAAACACACCACATTATGACAGCAACATATGAACACATATCCATTAGAAAATAGAAGTAAAACAAGGGAGCAGCATACTAGTGCCTACTAAACTGACTTAATTTACTTTTACTACAGAATCAATTCAACGAAATAAATTTCCCCTTGAAAATGCATGGAAGTTGGTGCAGTAATCAACTAGATAAGTAATAGATAAATGAATTTTATATTTCAGGTATCAAACTAGCATACCATCATATCATCCTTCAGATTGTTGGAGAAAGCAACAGGGTACCAGAAGTTCTTTAAGCGAGAATGGTAGGGTTGAACAGGACCTGACACATTCAAGCTTTTACCGGGCATCTTTCTCTTCACAGCATCCAAAGATTGTGTGGAACTACTGCAGGATGGGGATGCTGGATTGGATTCTACTGTGGTTTTGTCTTCCAACAGCCTATCATTAACCAGTGCTTCCACGTAAGCTAGTTTATCTAAAGCAGTGGAAACCCTTGCTTCAGATATATGAACCTGTTGTTAACCACATATCAGAATTATATTTGCCATTGATAAAGGGTTGTAGAGTATGTATCTTATCCAACTAGGACACGCAAGCATTGAAATTTATCTAAACAATTTAGTAAGCTCTTATTTTCCAGACCTGTCTATGAGCTTGAGCTAGTTCTCCTTGCAAATCAGCGAGTTCCTTTTTCATGGTCCCAATAGACTTGTATTCACGAGCTAGAGGATTCAAAACTTCCACGACCTACATCGATCTCTATGAAGGTGAGAAATTGCCAAAATAAACCAGTAAACATTCCCAAGGAAGAAAAGAGACTGATTTCATATAAATAAGAAATAGAGAACAAAACTAAGATCAACGGGTCAAACCTATAGCCTAAAACAAATGATTAAATTATCTTGTCACAAGAGATAACTGATCACAAATGAAATAAAATGTGATTAACTAGTACGTTGATCAGATCAAACCCTATGTATGGTTAAAAGATACAAACCTTTTCATGAAGGAGCATGATTGTGAGTAAATCTTGCCGAGCACGCCAATCACAGTACTGAATATCATATCTAGCCACTTCCAAGGCCTGATTTACATTCAAGAACTTCCCTTTACACTGTGGGACTTTGGGCCTTGGGTCCTCCACATCAAAGATTGAACTCCAGGGGCTTTTCTTATTTACCAATCCACCTTCCTCCCCAAAGACCGCAAACACTCTAAAACAACCTTTACTGCCCTGAAAACCCAACAAATAAGAAACAAAATTTAAGCTATTTGCTTTAAATTTTATACAAGCCCAGATTTCTCTAACTGAGAAAGAGATTGATCATATTGCCTTCATGGGTTGAAACCCAGTAACAAAGTAAAGGATTAAATTAAATAATTGGTAATCTTAGTTAGCATTTCACTTTCAAAAACCTATGAAGAAACATGATACACCTAAGGATCATGTCATTTTATCATAAATTTTTTATCTATCCACGAAAGATTACATGAATAAAACAAATAAAAATTACAGCTTTGGAGGACCAAACTAAAACTTAATTGAAAACTCAAAGTACCCAGATAGACAAAGCATATGAACAACTCAAAGAAGTAAAAAGATTACCTTTTTAGTGGTAAACTTGGATGATTTACTTGGAAAGACTGGCAAGGACAGAGCCGCAGCAGTGGCTATGGCGGTCATGGCGTCTGGAATGTCCAAACCATGAAATGGGAAAGGGGGAGATAGAGAAATAGAGAGAAATAGAGAGAATCGTAGGTCAGCTGGACTCTGTCGATAAGAGGTTGATGTCCCGCGCGATCTTGACTGTCCTGCCATGGGATGACAAGTGGACGATGTCGACACGGCGGCGTCACACGTGGCGCAATGTGTATCCACAAAGTCTTTTGGTCTGGGCGAGAGAGTGTCTTTGCTTGCTTGTGTGGGGCTTTGATATCTCCACGCTTGCCAGATCGGATATTGGAAGATACATTCTCTATCTGTATATCGCTTTCTGTTTCTTGTACCGTTTTTATTTGAAAAAGTTCGTTTGTTTTCAAACACAAAATTTTATGTCATTATTTTTCCTGGTCCATTTTGGTTTCCATTTTTTTGAAGGGCTATGTTAAAGTGACTTTATCTAATTTTAAATGTTTGAGTTTGAGAGGGGTTTTTTTTTTTTTTTTTATCTATACTATTTGTAATTGGGTATTTTTTTTACTTGATATTATAAAGATTTAAAACTTTAAACTAACATTTTTAAATTAATAAATATCAATTAAGCAAAACTCTTATCATTCAAATTAAGTCTTTTATTTATTACTAATTTTTTTTTAATCTTGAATTGTACACTAGAAGACTATATTTTTTTTTTATTTCTTAATCCACTTTACTTATACATTATATAACTTAAATTCATAATATTTTTTACTTTCATTATAAAGAGATTACCATTAAAACTATTTAAATTAGTTGATTATTTATTGGCGTTACTAAGTTAGCGCTAATTGTTAAGCAAAACGCTAACTGTTTTTTTATCTATTAACAAAATGCTCAAATTGGGTTTTTAACTTATTAGTTACAAAGGCTTAATTATCAAAAGCGTTGAAAAGAAAATATAATAGTCTAATCGGGTGCCTAATTAGTTAAATTTTAAAGCTGGCTGCCTAAGTTGTAAGCCAGCCCAAAGTTGGGTGACCTCTAGTGTAGTATATCCTTTTGTTAAAAAAAAAAACAGAAATCGGGTCGGATATAAGTGGCCACTCCGACTCCGCGGCATACCCGTTGGGTGTTCTGCGTTTGTGGGCGAATCCAAGTATCCATTGTCTTGTGTAAACTTCCGACCAACAAAGCAAGCTTCTTTCTTCTGCGGAGCAGGCAAGAAATGCCGCCGAGGGCACCGCATCATACTCAAAGCAGCAGCAAAGCAAGGGTCTTCTTCTCGGCCACTCTGCTGCTGTGGCTGGTCTCCGTTTTGTTCGAAATTGTGTTCAACAAGCGCAGGGAGCTCTTCTATATCCTCGCCGGCGGTTGCTTTTACCAATGTGCCAATTGGGTCATCAGGTTTCGTGTCTCCCGTGATCCCCTCTTTGTGAATACCTCCGTTTCCCTCCTCCACTCCACCGTCACCTCTGCCTCAGGTTTCCCTTTTTTTGGCTTCTTGTTAAGAAGTTTAGATTTTTATTGTGTTTTCTGAATTGGGTATTTACTTCCTTTCTAATCTCTTGAATCTATTGTTCTTTTATGTTTTCTGTTAGAAAATCTGAAAAATGAATTTGTATTTCGATAATTCAAACAACTATGTGAAATAAATACCATAATCTTGTCTTTCTAGTAATTTGAAATGATGTTGATTGCAACATGTTATCATGGTACCTTCAGTTTGCTTGCTTGAGAGAATATATTGGACATCTAGCCTCTTGGAAGTTGTTTACGTTTTACCAGACAGTTCAAGAACAATCTCTTGTTTATTCTTCGTGGGAAATTGAATTTACACCCTTCTTTGGGATTGTTGCCTTATTGGAGGCATCTGCCTTCAATAGTTATCATATTGTAATTTAGAGGTGTTACATCTTTTCAAATGAGCATGAGAGGTTGAGAGATGGTGGAGCAGCTCCTCAAATGAGGAAACCAATTATCATTTCTATTGATGTATAAATGATCTGGAAACACAATGATGTCTGGAAGAGTTGATGTTTAAAATGTTAGTAGGGACAAGAGTGAACTGTCATAAACTCATATCTCGTGGATGAGCACTGAGCAGAGATGCAATTTTTTAGTAGAAAGTCAAGAGAATCTATTTTTGTATCCTTGTTTAGTCTCTGAAAAATGAACTATGCTTCTGAAGTTACATCTAGAAGAAAAAAGAGACAAACATGAGATCAAACAAAGAGCAAATATGTAGTTTTACTTAGAGCTATTTGTTGTGGTGTTCTAAGGGATCATTTCATTCATCTCTGAGTGCTAGGGCTTTCACACAGTTTTGCAATACACACATATTGGTTCTATGTCCATGGAAATCCCAAATGTTGAGCTATTATAAACTAATATTTTGGTTTTTTTTTTTTTTAATTAAACAAGTGCTGGTTAGGTTCTTTTCATTATTGTGCTTTCTAATCTAATTTCAGTTTGATTCTATTCTCTGTGCAGTGGTTTTCGTCTTGGTTTACCAGTGGTTAAAATATGGTTCAAGAGGGATGTTTGATCATGCTCAGCTGTTTGGGGGTACTTGGCCATGGGCATACCAAGCATTGTGCTTTTCATGCGGTTATTTTGCATATGATCAATGGGATATGCTGCAGTACAGACTATACAGTGGTTTTATCCCTGCTATCCTTGTGCATCATCTACTACTACTCATCTGCTTTACACTTGCTTTGTACCGACATGTCACCATCAACTACCTTATTCTGACTCTCATATGTGAGGTATGCCTTAGAATCTTTCCTGCTGTGAAATAATAAGAATCACACTTTTAAGTAATCGGCAAGCAGTGTAGTGCATTGTGTTGGCATGAATTCTGAGAGGAGGTATCTTGATTTTCCTTAAACCAAGAATGTTAATAATAAAAACAGAAAATTGAATTGTATAGTGCTGAAATCTGAATCTTGATATTTGGAAGCTTTCTCACTCTTAATATTGATTCAAGTAAGCTCATTGATGCTATCATAGAGTATTGAAGTTGAATATCTGGTTTTGATAATACAGCTGCATTCTATATTCCTACATGTGAGGAAAGTGCGACGGATGGCTGGTGTTCGTGATGCCAAGAGCGGGATTGTAAAGGTAGAATGGATTCTTAATTGGTTCATGTTTATTTTTGCAAGACTGGCATCTCATCTTCTGATCACCGCAAAGCTACTCAGAGATGCTCCAAAGTTTGGAAAGGGTGTAGAATTGCCTCTTGCGCTGCTTGGGATGGCAGGAATGAATTTGCTTAATGCTTGTCTTGGTATTGATCTCTTCCATGCCTTCAGGAGAGAGAGAAATGCCCTGCAGAATAATCCCCACCATGAATAACAAACAGAAGAATTTGCAGACTAAATTGAGCCAGAATGTTGTTTATTATTTCACGTTACTGTGATATGTCAATTATATGTATGGCAAGTGAAAAATATATGAATTGCAGTTTAATACAGCCAACGAAAATGATTCAGATAAAATGTTTTCCACTTTACCATGTTTTATACGAATTTGAGATGGGATGAAATGAGCGGCTAAGTGATGATGAAATGAGCGGCTAAGTGATGACTTTTTTTATTTAGTGCGATGCATGAATGATTATAATTTAACCATTAAATGTCAATTTTAATCCCCCAAACTTATAATTGTTGACTATTTTTAATTTTTAAGCTATTTTTACACTATAAAAATGCATGTTTTTAGTTATTTGGTTAATAAGTTTATTAAATCTATTTAAATATATATATTTAGTTTCCAAACTTATAAATAAGAGTTAAAAAATGTGTATATTTAGATGAATTTTACAAACTAAATAACAGTAAGACTAAAAAATATATATTTTTCATAATTTAAGAACTGAAAAAAATGTAAAGATAGTTTAGGGACTAAAAATATTTAAAATTAAAAGTTTGAGGACTAAAGTTTAGAATTTAACCTAATTTATATCTCGTAATTTGATACCACCTCTCCTCGTTTCCAAACTCAGTGGAAGCTGCTCCTAAGGCAGGTTGCAGATTAAGCTAGGTGTACCTAAAGGACCGTCCTAGCCCTGACTGAACCTACTCATCTCCTGTCTAAATCTTGTCCCCC